CTTCAACCACCAGGTGCAGTCCACCATCTCTTGTCCTAGATGCACTAGCTTTTAGATTTAGTTTCTCCCTCCAACTCTTGTTCCCTCCAGAGTGCTATTTTAAATGCAATTATAGGTTTTTACCTCTGCAGTTTAAAACACTTATAGGCTTCCTATCGTGCTTAGAATCAACGCAGAGCTGTGAACAAACCTCAGGGTTATGTGAACTGTCAGATTCTCTCATATAGCATTTTCCTTCTTCATACTGTGCTAAGCCAAATAGCGTGCTCACTGATTAACAGCATTTTACCTCTTCTGTTGTCAAGACTATTTTGATTATAAATTAATACATGGCCACTGATTTTTTAAATGTGCTTCTTCAGTCAATCACTGACTGCACAAAAGCAGCTATGACTGACTATTTGATTCATGACTTGGCACATAATAGGAACATAGAATATAATATATTGATGAATTCATTGCTAAATTAGTACTAAGAACATAGCTTCTCAGTGTATGGTCCATGAATTGTTACTTGTGAAAAAATAAGTATGGAAATTAGGACAAACACTGAGAGATTTTATAGCAATTTGAAAGGTAAATATTATTCCTATTAAATCTAATAATAGTTTTTAAAAAGCAACTATGTTTTACATTCAGTTTTTAACTTACTGGTCTGGTAACTTAGTTTCATTCTGTTTTTAAAAAGTAATAGTTATTGTAATAATGAATGGGAAAGAAAGTGTTCAAAAGGAAAGAACAACGTGTAGGTATACACATATCAGTGTATGTATGGTTGAGTGTGCAAGACAGATAACCATACTACTATGTTTTTGTTGGTTCACCAAACAGAATAGTTTGTGCTGTCATGTTTGGTTGTTCATTTTTATGCTTTGATTGTGTAACCTGAACAACTATTTCTAAGATAACAATATGTAATTTATCAACTAGTAATTTCTTGCTGTTATTTTTTAAAATTCTGTATTTCTACTCTTTTTTGTTTTGTTTTTTTTCTCTAAATAAAAAAATTGAAAAGAAAAACTGTTGATCAGTAGTAAACTGGTAAAAGTAGACCTCTGTTTATCATAAAGAGTGTGAGAGTGTTGCTATCTAAATTTGGAATGTTTCTGTGTTATCTACGGTACTCAGTGACAATGTTGAACATTTGTAAAGTAATGATAATACTGATAATATAGTAACTACATAAAGGTTAAGGGAACAAAACAAAATAACTACTAGAATTATACATGGGAATACATTTTAGAGAAAAATGTGAAGGTAAATCCTGATTATTGCATCTTGAAATAAATTTTGAGACAGGAAACTATGAATTTCCCAATTTTATTTTTTTTCAATATTGTTTTGGTAATTCTAGATCCTTTTCAACTACATAAGAATTTCAGGGAGAATTGTCATTTTAAAAATATAAAGTATTTTAATCCATGAATATGGATCTTCCCATTTAATTAGATCTTTTAGAATTTCCTTTAAGTTTCTCTTCTTCTTTCAAGTGTAAGGTTTTATATTTTTCACATTTATTTCTATTTTACTTGATATTATTTTAAATGTAATTATTTTCTAATATCATTCCAGGATTGTACTTTGATATTGTGTGGTAATACAATTTACTTTTGTATGCTAGGTATGCATTCTGCCATTTTTAGTGAAACTATTATTAACTCTGATATGTTTTCCATGTTCCTTTAGCATTTTTATATGTACTATCATGTTAATGTGCAAATTATAAACAGTTTGTTTCTTCCTTTGTAAATTATGCACACTGTATGCTTTATTTTTTATTAATTTACAAATTCAACCTGCTGTGTTTGGGGAAGACACAGGTATATAATATTTAATTTTTAAAAAATATTTTGAAACTTTTGTTTTCACTCAAATGATCTTCCTTTAAAAGTTCTTTCATAATGCCCTTGAGAAGACAGTTCATTCTGCTTTTTCGCACAGTGTGAGCTGCACATATATTTCAGTGCTGGTTGGCTTAATGTGTCATGAAGTTTTCCTTTCTTGTCTTCCCATTTTGTCCAATTCAGTATTCCAGTGGGATTCTGATATTTTCAAACATTTTTGGAGAATTATTTCTTCAGTTCTTACACATATGCTTCACATATTTTAAAGATCTTTTGTAGGCATAAAACCATTGTGTCTTATTGTATTAAACTTTTGTTAACATATGTATTCTTGTCTCCTGTGGAACCTCTGTTGATTTAAGTGTTTTATAAATGTTATTATAACCACGCAGGTTTCTTTTATTTAGCATTTTAATGAACTCTATCTCTTTACCCTTTCACTTTCAACATAACTGTGTCTCCTGCAGAAAGCGATTCTAGTTGGGTAATTTTTAAAGTCCATTACTCCAGTGTGTGTCTTCGGATTAGAGGCATGAATCAATTTTTATTTAATGTAATTACTGATAAAGAGAAACTTAATTTGGTCCTTTGTAATTATTTTCTATATGTCTTATAGCTTTTATCTCCCTCTTTTCCTCTTATCAGTTGTGTCTCATTAAATTATTTTCTAGTGAAATGTTTTGATTCCCTTATTACTTAATTTATTTTTTGTAGTTATTATAAGGATTACATGCAATATTCTGAAGTTATAACACCCTAATTTGAATTTATAGCAATTTAACTTTCCTGTTGTGCAAAATTCTGCTCCTGTATGGCTATTTATGTTACAATTACATTTTGATATTCTGTACTCAGTAACATAGAGCATTTATTTTGCATATTTATCTTTAAAATCATGTTGAAAAAAATCTTAAAAGTGTAGTCATAAACTAAAGCTACACTTTTAGTGTATTTTTTTATAATGACCTATCAGATACTTTATTTCTGTCCACAGCTGTAAGTTATTTTTTCCATTTCTTCTACCTAAAGCACAGCTGTAAGTTATTTTTTCCATGACAGGTCTTGAGGGGATGACCCCACTTTTGTTTATCTGGGAGTGTCTTAATTTAATCTTTCTTTTCACTAGATATAAAATTTCTAGTTGATTTTTGTTTGGTTTGTTTTTAGCTTTTGAGGATTTGATTATCATGTGTCCTGGTATGGGTCTATTTAAAATTATCCTAAAAAACCCACTGAGCTTCTTGGGTTTTTTAATATCCATGTATTCCATTGAGTTCATGACAGTTTTAGATATTTCTTTTTTTTACTTAATTAAGTATATTGGCACATTTTATGTATACATAATGTTCACATTCATTATAGGGAATTTGTACCTGTACATGATATAATAATTTTTCTTCTTTTTCTCCTATTTCCCTACCCTCCCTTAAATCCCTTTTCATCTCCTTATTTATAAACTTTCAGACAATCTGCAGATGGTCTTTCTATTCCTTTCATTATCTTTTCTCCTTCTGCTACTCCTAAAAGGTGTGGTCTGCTGAATGGGATCCACAGGACCCTGAAGGTCCTTTACCATCTCTTGATTCCTTTTTCTTTGTGTTGTATAGACTCAGTGTCCTGCCTTTAAGGTATTGTTTCTTCTTATGGCTCATATCTCCTTGTGACCCTCTATAGTGACTTAGCATTATAGTTATTGTGCATTGTAGCTCCAGGTTTTATTTTGTTTTCTCTTTATAATTTCTACCTGTTTAATGGTATTCCTTTTTTATTCCTTCAGATTTTTTATTCAAGTCTTCCTTTGATCCTTGGGCATTTTGAGACAGATGGTCCCTCTCAGAGAGCTATATTTTCCTGTTGCCTCCTCATGTTACATATTTTTGCCTTTGTTGTTGAAAACTGGGCACTTGAGTCTTGTAATATAAAAGGGTAACTGGAAACCATTGTCCCTTTCTCAAAGGCGTCCTGTCACAGTTGCTGCTGGTGGCTGCTGTGGGTAGAAGGTGTTCTACATCTGGGTCAGCTGGGGTGAGAGCTGACAGTCTTCTCAGGATACTTGAGAGGCTGTCTTGAGTCCTGAAGCATTTCCTTGAATGTATGGGCTTATTTCTGAATCCCCCCACTTCAGGTGTTTGTCACATTGCTCACACATGAATGTCCTAATCTCCCAAAGGGGAAATCCCTGTGTGATGGATAAATTGTAGGCTGATTCTCCCCCGTCTGCTACCATTCTGTGCATTGTCCGTTTCTAGTCAGAGGAAGCTGAAATGCCTCAGAGAAGCCTTTACGGCCTGTGACTGAGGAAGCACCAGCTTGGCCACAGTTGTTGGACACCTGAGCTGTCTTCAAAGCCTCAGGAATCATCTGGCCTATGGGACCTGAGCTTCCCTCTGTAACTTACAGCACAAAAGGACTGTGAAACCTATGGGACACCACAGAGCTGCCTAGGACTCAGCCAGCACTCGGAGAAGTCACCTTCACACTGCATTACCCAGGGATCCTGGTGAGTGCTGATCATTACTTTAAGCCTGTGACTTGGAGGCTACTTGAGAATGTCTCTGTGTGAGTCTAAGGGCAGGGGACAGCCAGTGTCCCATTGGAGGCTCTCAGGGCAGATTCTGTGGTTTGGATATTGAATGGCCCTGGAAGCTGGTGTGGTGCAGGCTTTGTCCTCAGTTGATGGTGTCAGCAGGAGGTATGGTACCTGTAGGCAGTGGGCTGGTGGAAAGAAATTGTGTTGCGGGGAGGTATACCTTGAGGGAACAGTAGGAACCCAAGCCCTTCCTCTGTTTTGCTTTGTTTTTCCTGGTCAGTGTGGAACGAGATTTGTCCCACTATGTGCTTTCTGCCAAAACATTCGGCCTCCTCATGGGCCTCAGAGTCAGGGAACAGCCCCTTAGACTGGTCACAGTACTTTACTGTCCCCATGAGTGGGCATTCGGGTAACATTCACAGACCCTTGTACAATTTATCATATGTAGCATCCATGACCACACAAACATTTAACTGGGTAAGCAAAGAAAGCAAAGATACTAAGGCTTAGAGGGACAACATGATCCATATCAGTGGATGGGATGGGGGTGGGGTAGGGATGTGACTAAAGTGTGGCAAAGCTATGATCAGAAGCACTGTCCTCTTCTGACTTCCCACACAGGTCTGTCCTACACCATGGCCAGCCATGACCCCACCTGGCAGCAAATCCTCTGGAGTCTATGTCACCCTGCAGTGCTCCTGCCTGATGCAGTCACATACTTGCCCTATCTTGGGACACAGAGATAGCTGCCATCTACCCCAACCAGCACCATCCTGGGCTCAGGGACCACGAGGGCCATCGCTTATGCTGCAGTAAGTGCCAACAGGACTTGGAGCAGTGGGCAGCAGTACGCTGCCCCTGATCCGGTGAGGGAGGGAAGGTGTACACAGCTAGGTGGCAACCCTGTGACCCCACTGTTGCAGCAGCAGCAGCAGCATGCAGGATGCAACCGCCCAGGAATTTATGCCTGTTCTCTGGGAGCTGAGACTGAGATCCCAGTGACTCAGAGGAGGAGAAGCACTGCAAGTGTCTGGCTGGGAGACTGGTTCACACTCCATGGTCAAAATAAACAGACACTGCTCTCAGGGACAGTAGAGAGAATGGCAGCTTCATGCAACAGATCATGTGGCCTAGGCTACGAGGGCTCATGGACCAGTCAGTCACAATTTCCTGGGTCGCTCCTCTGGAATGCCAGTAGGTTAGAGGTCTCTACTAATGGAATGAGAGGATCTCTTTACCATGAGGAATGGCCTCACCATGTAGGGGGACAAGAAGTGTCCAGTGGGGCTGCCTGCAGAGAGCAGCACTAGGCCAGGCACACCAACAAGGACCAGGTTTGGGATGCCAAGATGCAGGCAGGGCCCCGTATCTGTATAAGAGCTTCTGTTTTGTGTTTGTTTGCTTGCTTGTTTTGAGACAAGGCCTTGCTATATAGTTTAAAAAGGCCTGGCACTCATGACAATCTCACCTCAGCACTGCATTACAAATGTGTGCCACCATGCTTGGCTGGTGCATCCATGTGTAACATGCCTCCTTCCTGCCAAGGGTTGCCATAATGTGAATACTTTGAACATTGTTTCACCGTCACAACTTTCATGGAAAACAAAGAATCTGTCGAATGGTAGGTCATGCCACCTCCAAACTATGTTTCTTTGATTTCTCTGGCATTGCTATTCAGAGAAACTGCAGACATCTGCAGATACATAAACACTTGGAAGAATATCCCTTTAAAAAGAAGATGGACCTATAGAGCACTAAGCAGAAGCCTTTCTGGCTGAATCCTGCCTTGGCCTAAGAGGGACCTTTCCACAGGAAGCAGCACTGGAAGCTGATGTCTGCCGCAAAAGGGACAGGCTCAGGTGACTGCTACCCGAGACACTTCACCTGCAAACCCAGACAGCCCTTGTTTCATGACTGCTGAAAGCTCCCCGGAAGTCCGGTCGATCCCCACGTGCTTAGCTGTGCTTCACGTCCACCTCCACCAGCCACCTTTGAGACCTCACTGTGTGTGTGTGGCTGCAGTGTTCATGAATGCAACAAAATCCATCCGTCTACTTTCCACAGTTTTATAGGTAGAAAATGAACTTTGCAGGAAAAAGAATAAAATTAAACTTCCCCGTACCTCAGGATGAAGTTCGTGCGGAGTTGCTTAGTGTGTGAGAACCTGGCCAAGTCTGAAGGTTAAGGTGGAATCCACTTTCATCCAGTGTCTTCACAGGAATCCACCTAACGTGCTCCAGTCCTTTGCTGCCTTCCAAGACCCTAATGCAGAGAAGTGGGAACCTTCAGCTTCTCCACCTGTCACCAGGAGCAGCAGGGTGCATAGCAGAGCCAGTTGCATTTGTGCAACTTCATTGGCGAACCCCAAGAAAGCCACCTGGCCCTTGCTTCTGGTTTCTTTTTTTCTTTTTGGTTTTATGATATCCTGGATCTTTGGGATTCTTGCTTTTCCAGAACCTGGGTTTCTCAATCATATCCCTGATTGTTTTTTTCTATACTACTCTTTACTTACATTAATTTCTTTTGTATTCCATCCTAGCAAGGTGCTACTCTCTGCTCACTGTCCCATGGTGGGAAAACAAGCACATTAACTCTCCAAGCAAGTTCAAAAGGTGGATGGAGGCTTCCAAGTTACAGGCCACTACCCTGGAGCATGACAGACACTTGGGGTGAGAAGATCAATCAAAATTTGAACACTATCAAGGAGTTTCAGGCCTTACTCCAGGCTGAGAGATGAAATATTTGGGGGGAAATTCTTGACTCCCTCTGTCCATGGTACTCTGTGCACTTGACCTTCACAAAATCAGTCCCAACTACACCTGGGGCCGGGTGAGCTACCTGGCAGCAGCTCCTCTAGTCAGTGTGATTTCAAGTTCCTTGGGTCAGCCAGTCAGGTGACATCAGAGAAGGTTCTTTCTGCACAGCTAAATGTTCCTGGGGTGGAAGACTGGTGGGATTTTTAGCACGTTTATGCAGAGCTCTTAAAAACAAAGCAGCTGTCATCATTCAGAGCGGCTCTGGACCTTGGCTTTGTGGGCTGGCTCTGCTCTCCTGGAGACTTCTCTCCCTCCACACTGCTTCAGGACAGTCCCCTGGGCCCATGCACCCTTTCCGTGCTTAGCTTCCTCTTATTCCTGGTAAGGAGATGCTTATTCCTAGGCTTGGTGAGAGCCCAGATTGCTGTCCCTACGGAAGACTGATCCCAAGCTGACCCTCTTTACTAGTCCAGACACTTCATCTGAAATTACCCTGACTCTGCTGTTGGCTGCTGGACTGCTCAGCTCCAGGGCCTGGGCAGAGCTGGAGCAATGGATGTGGGGACTCAGGAAAAGATGATGGAAGGCTTTTCTTGCAACAAATAAAACAGATTTATTCCTACATGTAACAGGTATGCTCTTTTTATGAACAGAGCCCTGGGCTGGTACTGGTGACAGAAGAGTACAGGCTTTGCTCTTTTAGGTGTCAGCAAGTGTTTAAACAAAAAGATAGCTTAGGTCCATAAGAATGCTGGTGTTGGAGAGGCCTGTGACACACTCTGTCTTCACAGAGTTCATGTGTGGCTTAGATCAGCCTCATGAGAGAGGTTCAGTGTACAAGATGCCTTGGCCATTGTGTCCGTGTCACCCAGGTGTGTGATACTTAGAGTGAATCCATGCCCTGGCACTCATGTCTCACAGATGCCTAAAAGGAAGCCTGCAAGGGCCATGCATTGAAAGGAATACTAGAACTGCAGGTGCTGCTACTTGTGGGTACATCAAAGTATTTTCAAAGTCATCCTCTATATATTAGAATGCACTGTGACAACATCCTAGACAGAAACAGCAATTTCAGCTGATCTTAAGAACCATCACTGCCCAGAGTATAAATCAATTATCTCACATGTCACATACTCTGGTGTAATTTCTAAAAATTACAGAATCTTTCTGGCACATCCACCTGGATAAGCAAAAGGAAGATGGTTTCTACTTGTTTGCACCATGGACTGTAGGTATAACCCATTTACTTTGGGATTAATGTGCTTTTTCTCAAACGGCTCCTGAGTGATTTAACATCAGTGATGAAAGTGTGTCTGTCCAGCAGACAGCGATGTGGGGAAAACGCTCTTCTTTGCCTCTGCCATTAGCTTCCACCCAGCAAGTCAAACACCTTTCCAAGACACCAGACAGAAAGTGAAAATCAGACCTAGGCCATCCTGCTAAGAGATGGCATATTTCCACAGAAAACTAACTCTATGCTTTTCTACATTTTGCTTCTATGTTGTATAGCAGCCCCCAGGAAGCTGATATCCTGTTCCTTCTAATGTTCTGTGAGCATGCTCTTTCCTCTGCTCCCTCGGATGTAACCAAGTTAGCTGCTCCACCCGCTGGAAGCCTGAGATTGAGCGAAAGCTTGACATTAGATATTTATCCTCCCAGCTGTCTTCCCTCAGATAGCCAGCCAGCCCTCTACCCCAGACCTCTTTATCTTATTTTGCTAAACAAGATGAGTTTCTGTCATTGCTGAAAGCAAATGATTTGTTTTTTAATATACATCACGGCTCAGGTTAAGAACTGGACAATGCAATGCATTTATTATTCCCTCTCTCTTCTGTTTATTCTAGTGTGAAATTGTTTTCCAGGTAGTGATTAATTCTGCCAAGGCTTTCTGCCCTTGCGGGGCTGTCTGCTACATTTGGGGAGAAGGTGTTGACTGCACGGACCTGCACTACAAGTGTTATTTCAGTCTTGTCAGACATCAGCTTCCCTGTTGCCTCTGTCGTTCAGACAAGCGCATAGGCCTTTCTTCATTTGCCATGTCTGAATTTCCTGTGGCTTGATCAACGCTTGATTTTGGAAAGAAGATGTGTGAAGAGGTGCTAGTGGTGGGTGGTCTGCCAGAAGTGGTGTTACAGGGTTTTTGGCAGAGATGAGAAGTAGGATTGCTGTCAGAATGGCCAGATCTCCTGCTATCAGCCTGCTCTGAAGAGCGTAGAGTGACTCTCGGTTTATCTAAGATAGCTTTTGCTAAAGAGACCAAGGATTCTGACTCCTGGGCCAGAGAAATACAGTGTTATGAACTGGGGCTCTTGAAGAAGATGGCAAGTCACCTCGTTAGGGTGAAATGTGGCAGCAGACCTACCCTGGAGTGAATCCTTAGGGACCATAAACATGGGCCAGGTGAGCTTCCTGACTTCATCAGAGTGTTGAAGCTGCCTCACTGTGTTTGAGCCTCTGACTACTAGTGTTTCTGGCTGTGTAGTCTCACTGTACTTGCCGTGTACCTCAGCAGCTACACTCTGGCCTCCACCTATTAGATTACTGACTGGGCCTTAAGGCCATCTATTAGATTACCCTCACTGAGGCCTCTGGCAGTGTCTTCCGGCACCACGGTAACTAGATGAAGTAGAGCCATGAGCAACACCACTTACAAGGTCTCTTGGGAGGCCTAGGCAGCTTCAAGATGTAGAATGACAGGCATGGGGTCTTGAAGTAGAAAACTCAGACCTAAAAGATGATTCAGCCTCTTACTCTGCAACCTTGGGAAAAGGTCATTTTTCCTGAGGCAATAATGGCTCCAGAATGTGAACAGGCTATTCAAGGGTAGGAAAGCCAAGAAGAGGGGTCCTCACTACCCACTAGAGAGTCCCTATGGCTGTGATCCTCCTGTAGTCCTCTGTCAGATGTGTGCCACTCCTTACCAGCATTCTGTAGTGAGCCCTCTGGCACCTACCTGAGGCTGATGCCCGGCACACAGCATACTGCTTGGCTCTAACTTTACTTCCTGCAGTCTGGAACCCCCAGAGTAGCTTTGGCAATTCCCCCAAGTGTGCGTCTCTCTGCACAGGGTGTCCGGATCTCTGGATCTGTCCTATGTGTGCTTCCCATGAGGTCACTTCTCTCAGCTGCCTTCCTGCCGTGGGTTCTTTCCAGCAGGGCCACGAGCTTCCACCTGTGGCCGTGGTTAAGAGCTCACTCAGTGCAGGGGCAGCTGCCCCACCTGCTATCTGCTTTGGGCCCCATCTTAGACACATCTGCAGCATAAGCTGGTTCTCCGGAGGGGCGGAGCCTCAGCCAAGTCATCACCAGGCCTCCACATGGTGGGGGAGTACTCTTGCAGCACTGTTTGCCCCAGTTACCATTTCCCCTTGAAGTGAGCCTTGAATGTCCTGCACCACAAGCACCAGTGAGCCTATTCCTGAGCTTCACACTCTCCTGAAATTTGGCAGCCCATGGGCTGGGCATCACTCCTTTCTCCCAGGTCCCCTGAGATGGTGCCTGTGTCCCCTAGGACTGGCCCATCCTACCTATCCTTCCTCCTCCCAGGCTTGGTCTGTGAACAGGGGGTTTCCTGAACCCCCTGGTACTAATTGGAGATGAGTCAGATGGCCTGAGCTGGGGCAAGAAGTTTCCCACCTTGTGTCAGTGAAAGGAGAGCCATGAAGTACCTGCAAGGCCGCAGACGATCTGTGTGGTGGGGCAGGTCCCTTGACACCTTGGCTGGAGCTGTGCCAGTGCCAGCCTATCTGTTCACCACACAGACAGAATCCGGTGACTCAGCCTCACTTGCTGGAGTGTGTCCCTGGGAGGGGTGTGAGGAGGTATGCTAAGAATTACTGCTCCATGGAACTTTACGTGATAGGACTTTTTTACAATTCTTTCATGGATCATGTAAGCTTTCCTGAGGCTATGATAACAAGGCTGGTGACAATGCCCCCTTCCCAAGGGCAGGAGCTCATACCATGCACTTCCAAATCAGAAAAGGGGGGATTTAGATCAGTGGCACAAGTGCCTGCCTGGCAAGTGCAAGGTTGTGAGTTTGATTTCTGATAAAAAAAGAAAAAAGACTCCTGAATCAGAAACTGCAGATTTGATCCAAGTTCTACCATCAGTTCTGTAAAACCTAGAGAGAGATAACAAGTATTTAGTTTGGTATAAATGAACATTTAACCCATGGCCTTTGCACTGAGCTATATCGCCAAATCTTTTTCCTTTTTTCCTATTTTTTTATTTTGAGACAAGGTACCAGGAAGTTGCAAAGTTGTCTCAGTCAAGCAGTCCTCCCACCTCTGCCTCCCAGAACATTGGGCTTATAGATGTGCAGGACCATGCAGGCTTTGTTACAACTGAAAACATACAAAGACAAGATTAGAAGATGACAGAACCAAGCACAAACCCTACCCTGGGACCATACTTTGTGTTTATCCAGGTATAAGATGCTTTGTCCTTCTACATCCACCTTACCCAGTTACTTTTAACCAATGTGTGGAGCATGCAGAGCCATAAGAAGCTCTTCCCTGGCTTTCTCCAAGCATGGGGTACAAAGTGAACCAGAAATTTGGACATCAAGGGCACTGGCTGTGCTGTGGCAGAAGCTGTGCTGGAGATGGTGCCACCCCACAGAGTTGGGCCTGTGCTGCACACACCTGTGTCTCTTTGAGCTCACAGCCTCACCAATGTCATCTCAAAGGCGCTGGCACATCTGGATGTAACAGACAGTTACATGTGGTTGGCATGACTTTTTAAAAATACTCAAGCATGTATGCACTAACCCATGCTAAGTTATTCCCAAGTGACAGTACTGGGAGCCACCTGGTGTCAGTCTGTGAGGACACTTACTGATGAGGTGATGTGCTAGGCATAGGGTGATGTATGAGAATGTCCCTGGGCAGTGGGGCTAGATCCCCACCATGTAGAGCCCGAACTTAGCAAGTGTTGGCAGCTGTTGCAGATATCTGAGAGGAAACAGGTTCACATCTGTCATGCTGCTGCCACCCAGGATGCTCCCCTTGCGGACTCTCCCAGTCCTCGGTGAGAAGTCTGCCCAAATCTCAGACTGTTCCAGACCCCCCAGGCTTCTGGGTGCAGAGAAGTGGAACAGTGGGTTAGAGGCCACTACAGCTGCCTCCCCATCCCCCCCGGCTACACTTGGAAGTCTGCTGAGCTCCTGACGGATGGGCGGGCCTACACTAACCCCCGAGCCCAGCCGCACCTAGCCATCTCCTGCAGAGGAGGAGCTGGGCGGATCCGGAGTCCCTGCAGAAGCCCGTTCCTTTGTCTGAAGGACTGAATACTTCTGCAAGCAGGGAGGCATCGCAGCTTCCTGAGGCACCTCAGCCTGTGGTGAGTGCCCAGCACAGTCTGCCCAAATCTCAGACTGTTCCGGACCCCCCAGGCTTCTGGGTGCAGAGAAGTGGAACAGTGGGTTAGAGGCCACTACAGCTGCCTCCCCATCCCCCCCGGCTACACTTGGAAGTCTGCTGAGCTCCTGACGGATGGGCGGGCCTACACTAACCCCCGAGCCCAGCCGCACCTAGCCATCTCCTGCAGAGGAGGAGCTGGGCGGATCCGGAGTCCCTGCAGAAGCCCGTTCCTTTGTCTGAAGGACTGAATACTTCTGCAAGCAGGG